GTTGAAATAGACTAAAAGTAACTATAAACAGAGAAGCTCAAAATAATCTAATCGAGAGCAAACAACGGACAATATATTAACATCTTAGCTATGCAACTAAAGACTTGAGGCATAGCAAACTAGACTGAGAACTACCCGATGGTGAAAATCAGTATTACATCCTACAACTGACAGACAACATAGTAAACAATTTTTGAAACTCTTTCCCTCGGATATGCCTCATTTCGTAAAATAAATTAAAATAATATTGACTATATTGAAAAGAAGCCATAAAGCACAAACTCAAACAACCTGAAGGCTACAACGTTGGGCCTAAACCCATAAATCCTCAACTCAATATCGCACTAACCCGATGAAAAAAAGTTAAGAACATACACAAAATTCAAACATCAAAATACCCACAACAACTAATAGCTATAACCATGGCAGAAGATTTTCCATCGTCAAGAAAAACAATACATCGAGATGAGGCAGAGAAAAATACAAAAAAAAATAGGGAACTCAATACTATATATCCAGATTCCATACTTATCGAAATCGAATAAGAAACAACGAAGACGGCCAGCAAAAGAGACTAACTCGATCATTGAAAGAAAATCTATAAAACTGAACTCAAATATACGAACTACAACGTCTCGACTAGAAAAATTAAGATATCAAAATAGGTTTTCCTCTAATCAAGTTGCTTGCTAGAACTCTGCATGAAATCGTACAATCATTAAACGGAAAAATGACATAGGGAGTCCAATTTCTTGGAAAGGATGAACGAACAACGAGATTTATCCACCTCGCCTTGCTATCCGTACAAAATCGTACCAAGAATAAGAGAAAAACAAAAAATTTGTGACAACCTTTGCTTTCCGTCTAGCGCCATGTAATTTAACGTTGCTACCGCTGAAATCGACATCGCTTTTGACTTTTACCTCATCCTTGTCATTACTGGGCCTTTTTGAGAGGATAAAAAGGGTCGGGTCGGGGATTTGGGCCACAAAAATTGGGCTGATGGAAGGTGGAAACACAATGGAACTAGGCTTTGGGGATGAGCTGCAGGCAACAAAACAAAAAGTGACCCAAAATTTCATTTCGAAATGGGTTTGAATAAGGGAGTAAAATGTGATTAACATTGCAATATGATTTAATCAACAAATGAACTAAGAGGGTAAAAAGATGAAGAAAATGAGTTAAGTTTATAATTCGGTAAGATTTCAAAATGGAAAAAATAATTAATTTAGGAATTGTCTAATCTCAACGGAATAAAATAAATAGCATACTCATAATTAAACTAATCAACTTAGTAATAGAGTAATGGATTAAAATAAAAAAAATTATGATATAATTAAACTAAATAGTAACATTCTTAAATGAAATAAAGTCTTTTGAAATAATTTTTGATTTTTAAAAAGTGTCATAATTACACATATAGTAATGCCGAGCAACACACATTATTCCAAAAATTATAAAGATTAACAAAGTTAGATAATTTGCAAAACATATAAAAATATATATAATGTTTTCTTACCTTTATAAAACTAATTATTTCAAGTAGTTTGAGATTGAGAAAGCTCGATAATTGATATATTTTGTGGAGGTTCGAAATTGGGCGTCAACAATTGTCACTCCGTTTTCTTGGATTGATGCAAGAAATTCGAGAAAAATGAAGTCAACCAATCCAATTTTTACCGACCACATAGTCATCTCTTTGGAAAAAGGATTCGGTATGGACGTTTAAATTATGGTTGAACCCTGGAAATGGATTTCCTACATATCTCAGACTATATGAGAAATCAGGACACTTGTAGTTCGATACGCTTGATTGAACACACACTTTCAAAAGAATTCAAAATTCACCCCTACCCCGAATTATGAAAGGACCGAAATGCTCGAGAATAATATTCGAGAGCGAGTGTTGGAATACAGTCGAGTTTCAACATTGATCTCACCTAAATATCCTTAAAATCAAGGAATCAGGCTGCTTGTATTTCGACTCAATCTGTTGAAAAAGAAATCTACTATGTTAGATAACCTTTGGTTCTGCACAAATGACAAAGCAATTCGAGTTCGAAAAGGAGGCTTGCACCCTCTTGCTCATGAATTTGGCGCTCTTCACACCCATAACTAAGAACTTACACAGACATAATTTCCAAAGTTCTTGGTGCATTCTCACACAGATTGGAAACTTTCTTCCGGCAGAATACCAAAATTTTCAGGATGTGAAACTGAAAATAACAAAACCCAACGAAACACCCATTTTCCTTCTGATAGGAGTGTGGTTTGATTGTGGTGGAAGTCTCTCCTCTACCTGCATCCTAAGAGTTTGACAACCCTCTTTTGACTATGTCCCAGTTTGCTGCTAAGAAAAGTTTTACGTTGTCCTGTATCCTTTGTGTTGTAATCCGCACTTGTGGTATGTTTTGGAGAATTCATCCTTTCGTATGCTCTCGAAGATACTAAAATAAAACTCTTCAGCATTAAAATGCAATTCAAATGGGAGACAGTTTCTTTTAGTGTGTTGACACTTAATTTCTCTCCTCAACATTTGACGTCAACTCAATTGGTTTGATGTAAAGCAAATAAACCTTATATCTTATGTTTGCAACATAATCTTCAATGTATTCTTCATTCAATGTCAAAATAAATAAAAGTTAATGCAGTGTTGATATTTCTCTTGGTGTTGTCTTCAATGATTCTCTTAGTGTTTACATTAGTCAAATAAAAGATGCAGTTGATGGTTAAATATTTCTCTTGCGAGGCACAATTTCCTTCTCCGATAATACATGATTTTCTTTCGCGATGCATGACATTTCCGTGATGCATGATTTTTTCGAGATGCATGAATTTTCTCTTGCAATGGATGATTCTTCCACGATGCATGAATTTTCCTCTATGCATGATATTTACTCGTGATGCATGTCTTTCCGCGATGTATGAATTTTCTCTTGCAATGCATGATTCTTCCACGATGCATGATTTTTTGTGAGGCATGAATATCTTTTCGTTATACATACATGATTTTTGTGAAGCATAAATATCTTCTCGCGATGCATGATTTTCTGCGAAGCATGAATATCTTCTGGCGATGAATGATCTTCCAAAAGAAATGCATATCTTCTCGCGGTGAATGATCTTCCGAAAGAAATGCATATCTTCTCGCGATGCAAGACTTTCCATGATGCATGAATATTAACTTGCGATGCATAATTTTCTGCGAGACATGAATATCTTCATGCGATATATGATTTTCTTCTAGGCATGAATATCTTCTCTCGATGCGTGATTTTCTGCGATGAATGGATATTAACTGGCGATGCATGTATATGCTTCTCTTGATGACATCCTGGGTACCAAATGAAGAAATAACTTCAATTAAGCAAAATAACATCTTCTAGGTGCTTTGTGGATTGATGATATCATCTCAATTGACAATACGGTAAAAGGACCATCCAGGTAGTGTATCATTTTCATCGATTACACCAATGAAATGACACCTTAATACACAATATAAATATAATGACCCTCTAGGTAATAATACTATCATGTTTGCTAATATGATGCAAATGATGTCATTGATGAAAAACCATGAACTGTCTTTCTCTGGGTTTTTTATTTGATTCATCTTTGAATCTAGCTGGACATTCATTATAGACTTCATGTTGTTGGAAATTCAATGAAATAAAACCATTTATATTCCCCGAGTCTTCGCTATAAGAGATCTAAGATAGTTCTTGCATCCATTAAAAAAATTGTTAATTTGGGGAGCTTTTCGCCCTTTGATTTATCCATATTCATAAATCTGAGGAATTTTTCTAATTTCAGAGCGAACCTTCAAACCTGCGTCCACAGAATAAATTTTAGTTTTAAAATGAACTAATCTATGTTGATTTCTTTAGTAGACTTTTCCTTGTCCTTCTATCTCCGGTTGATTTTCTGATATCTCGACTCTCGATAGATAAGGTAAATATTATATGCAAAAATCAATGAAATATAAAGGAAAATTTTAAGAAAAATAAATTTTCGAAAAGTAGTATTTTAAAAAAAATTACCATCGAGTGTCATGTCACGTCAGGCCTAGCAAACTTCTTTGAGTCTGATTCTTGGAAGTCTATCTAATTATTCGTTGGGGGTATTCAAAGCCACTATAGGCTGTTCATAAACCCACGTTGAAATTTTGAGGTCATCCTATAAATTTTTATCCCAGTTAAATGTCTTATCTTATCTTTAATTGTCAGTGAGCAAATAATGGAATTTTCGAGATACCCTTGAAAATACTATCCTAGTTGCAGATACAAAAGTAACTCCAGTCTCGACTTGTAGAGGAAAAATCTTCTTCTCAAGAATTTTTGAGTCCCTCTCTATAATTTTGTCCTAGTTTCTATTGTAAAGTGGAATAGGAATCTTACGGAAAATATGACAGAAACCTTGTGGCACCTACGTATCCCATTGAGGTAGGAGTCAGGTCAAACGTAGTTCCCCTCAAAGGTTAATAACAATAACAAATTTTACAAAGAAACTGACCAAGGCCGACATATGCCGCCTACATATCTTATTTTTGAGAATTCAGGTCGAACGTAGTTCAACTATAATGAAATATTAAAAGGGATAAATGGGGTGACCGAGGACGATATAGGCTGCCTATATATCTCATTCTTGAGAATTCAGGTCAGATATAGTTCATTACAATAGGGATAAAATTTTAAACAAAACAATTACAAGCAAAAACAAAATGCATACAAGGAAACGATAGAAATACAAACTAATCTTCACGCGTAGTATATCTTGACATCATCTGAGTTGATCACCTTTGGCCATACAGTTCCATCCATCCCCGACAAGATCAAAGCACCTCTAGATAATAAGTTGTGAGACATGTAAGGTCCTTCCCAATTCGGTGCAAAATTTCCTTTGTACTCATCTTGATGAGGAAAAATGGGTTTATGTACTAATTGACCAATTTCAATGATTCTTGCTCTGACTCTCTTGTGGAAAGCTCAAATCATTCTCTGTCAATATAGGTAACCATGAAAAATTACAACCATTCTCCTCTCGTCAATCAAAGTAAATTGATCAATCCGCTTTTTGACCCATTCAACATTACTCGGATCAGCTTCTTGGATGATTCTTAGGGAAGGTATCTCAACTTCAACAGGTATGACTTCTTCTGTACCATACACTAGCAAGTATGGAGTGGATCCAATCAATTTTTTGATGGTTTTTTGATAACCAAACAAAGCATATGGCAACATCTCATGCCAACCTCGGTGATTGTCAATCAATTTCCTCAAAATCTTCTTGATGTTCTTGTTGGCAGCCTTCACAACTCCGTTCATTTGAGGACAATATGCAGTTCAGTTTCGGTGAGTAATCTTAAACTTCTCACATATATCTCTCATCAAGTGACTATTGAGATTCGCACCATTATCAGTAATGGTGGACTCTGGTACTCTGAACTGCATATCAGATTGTTCCAAAAAAAATCAGCTACAACTTTCTTGGTCACTGACTTGTACGCAGCTTCTTCCACCCACTTGGTGAAGTTGTCAGTTGCAACCAAAATAAATCTATGTCCATTGGAAGCGGCTGGCTCTATCGGACCGATGACATCCATGGCCCAAGCTAGAAACGTCCAAGTTGAACTCATAGCATTGAGTTCGTGAGGCGACACTCAGATCAAATCACTGTGCACTTGACATTTATGACATTTCTGCATAAACTTGCAACAATCATTCTCCATAGTCATCTAGAAATAACTGGCTCGAAGAATCTTTCTCGCTAAAGTGAGCCCATTCATATGTGTGTCAATAACTCAAACATGTATATGTTCAATAAGCTTCGCAGCTTCAACATCATCGATACATCTACCTAAATCTGGAGTCCTCCTGTAAAGGATTTCACCTCTGAGAAAGAAGTTGTGAACCATATGGCGTATTGACTTCTTCTTGTTGGATATTGCATATTCAGGATAATTTCCTGTCTCTAAATACTACTTTATATCAACACAGCGTGGCGAACTGTCTGGTTCTGCTTAAATATGTGAACAATGGCCGGATGTAATTTGAGCTCTATATCCAGAGTATCAATATAATCAATATTTGGATGTATAATCATTGAGGTGATGGTGGCAAGAGCATCAACCAAATCATTCTGTGTTTTGGAAGTGTGTCTGACTCAATCTTATGGAATCTCTTGCATAACTTCGGCATATATTGCACATACGGTGTGTTTTTTGGGTTCTTTACAGCCTATTCTCCTTGAATTTGATGAATCAACAAGTCAAAATCTCCAAATTCTATGATTTTATGAACATTCATGTTGCGGAACATTTTCAAACTAAGGATACAAGCTTCATATTCAACCATGTTGTTCGTGTAATTAAACTGGAGCTCAGCTGCCATAAGATAGTGCTGACCGGATTCTGACACTAAGACCGCTCCGATACCCTTTCCTTGGTCTCAAAGAATAATCTCCATCCAGGATATATTTTAAAAAAATCTTCACCCACAAACGATACTTCTTCATAGTGAAAATAAGTCTTAAGCGGTTCATACTCTTTATCAACGGGATTTTCTGCATGATGATCAGCCAAGGCCTATGCTTTTATCGCCTTTTGGGTTGCATACACAATATCAAATTCACTCAAAAGCTAGCCAAATTTGCGGTCGGCATCTCTTTATAGAAAATGTACTTCAATGGGTCCATCCTGGAAATAAGTTATGTTCTATAAGAATACAAATAATGTCTCAACTTCTGAGTGATCCAAGTCAAAGCACAACACGTTTGCTCCAAAAGAGTATAACCAGGCTCATATTGTGTGAACTTTTTGCTTATACAATAAGTGGCTCTCTCTTTATTCCCTATTTTGTCATGCTACCTAAGCACACATCGAAATGCGTTATCTGAGATGGATAAATATAGCAACAATGGTCTCCCTTCCCGTGGAGGTACCAACACTGGTGGATTAGACAGATTGTTCTTGATAGCATCAAAAGCAATTTGACATTCTTCAGTCCACTTTGTCGAAGCATTTTTCATCAACATCTTGAATATAGGATCGCACACCACAGTTGATTGAGCTATGAATCGACTGATGTAGTTCAACCTCTCTAATGAATTCATCACCTCCTTCTTAGTTTTTCAAGGAGTTAACTCTTGAATTTTTAATCTTGGAAAGTTCGAGCTCAATACCTCTTCTGCTGAATATAAATCCCAATAACTTGCCGGCTGGCACTCCAAAAGCACATTTAACGAGATTTAATTTCAAGTTATAACGACACAAATGATTAAAGAACTTCTTTAAATGCGTCAAATGGTCCGAACTCTCGCGGGACTTTACTATGATGTCATCTAGATAAACCCCAATCTCCTTATGAATCATGTCATGAAATATGGTCGTGATAGCCCTCACATAAGTAGCGCTATCATTTTAGAGGCCAAATAGCATCACCTGTAATGATATACACCCCAAAGCATGATAAAAGTTGTCTTTTCCGCTTCTTTTTCATCCATCAGGATCTGATGATAATCTGCATAACAATCTACAAATAACTACATTTCATGTTTAACAAAATTATCGATCAGAATATGAATGTTCGGCAACGGAAAATTATCCTTTAGGCTGACTTTGTAGAGATCCCTGTAATCGAAAAAAATCCAGGTCTTCCCATCTTTTTTGGTGATTGGAACAACATTGGCCAACCAGGTCAGGTATTGCGTCACTTCCACTAATCGAGACTCGATCTTTTTGGTCATTTCTTCCATAATCTTTAAACATAACTCAGGCTTGAACTTCCAAGCTTTCTATTTCATCGGGCTGAACCCCAGATTAATCGGCAACTTGTGAGACACCATATTGGTACTCAGCCCTAGCATGCGTTGAATTCTAAGACGAACACATGAATGTATTTAGTAAGCAAATGAATCAGAACCTTTCTTTGAGCTTCATTCAAGTGGACACTGATTTTGACTTTTTTGGCATACTCTTACTCTCCCTGATTCACAATTTATGTTTCTTCCAAATTTGTCTTGTGCTGATTTTCAAACTGTCAAAATTCCTCGAGGATGTATTACGGTACATCAATTTCCTCTTCGTATTCTTCAGCCTCATCATCACCTGCCTCATTTTATTTGTTCATCTCATTAAATGACATGACATTGGCAGGTTTAAAATTAATATTACTAAAATCATAAAAAGACAAAGTTAGGAAAGTAAACTATACCAGATAAGTAAATGAACAAGCTTTCAAATAAAGAGGGTTTCATTTAAATTGGAAAACAAGGCAAACTTTGGCCATGGTAAGGGGCCATGTTGCCTTTTTTAAACATCACTGGGGAATTTTAAAATTCACGCAATTGATGAAAAAGAAAAGGGTGGGTCTCATGCCTCTTTCAGACCACCACCAATTTTCAAAACATGCATAAACAATGTCCTTATACAAAGATGATCGGGGAATCAAGATTTGTGTATAAGTCCAATTCTGCAGTAATTCTTTCAGCTCAGTACTGGAGATACCAGCTAGCTTGACCTCGTCCTCTATGACATTAACGATCTCTTCAAAAAGGTGATATATTGTGGTTTCACATTATTTTTAATGCTTTTTCCTAAAGGTTAGTGTGTGTACAAAAGCCTTTCTGTATTGATTTTTATGTAAATTTCTCCTTTTTTGCAGGAAGTCTATCAAAAGATGAATGCAGAAGTTTTTGAGTGAGAACTGCAGAAAAGACCACCTACGGAGCCCACGACGGTCCGTCGAGCTTGTGACGGTCCATAGGTGGCATCGTAGTGAAACTGCTGAAGGAAGATGGGGAAGTCTGACCTAGTGTGGGATTAAAGAAGTCTCTGACGGATCATCATAGACACAATGGTACGTCCTGCTGGTTCGTCGCAATAATCAAAGGATAGTCCCAGTACCCAAATTCCAAGAAGTTTAAGTATTATGGAACGTAGACCCTTGATGGACCGTCGTGCTTGGAATGGTCTGTCATACCTACTCGTCGAGGGAAATGAAGAAAGCAATAGAAGAATTTGTGAAGTATGGGATGACGGATGCCATGACGGCCCGTCATTACCACGAAGGTTCGTCGACCAAGATACGTTTTAACAGATTTTCAATAATTAGAATTCTTCTTTTATTAGGTTTTTGTTTTTATTATTAATAGTTCAAAAAATCTTGTTTTGGGGGTTAGACTCTTTGATAGTAGACTTTTCAATAGTTAGACTTTTGGATAAGTTTTTGTTCTCTTGTTCAAGTATTGAAGGATTAATTTCAGTAATTGTTACAATTTTTCTGGAATTGATTGGTGATGCTTTTGTTGATTAATTAAGTGAATTTCTGGATTTTATTCTTTCTCATTAAAGTAAGTGCATGAATTCTTATATTAAATATATGGGTAGTGTGATTATGACCATGGGTAACTAAACTCAATAACTAGGGTTCTGGGAACCGTAGGTGAATAATGACGTAAAACCTAACTAAAATAGCAATTCTAGAATAGTGTCTTGCATGTATTGATAATTCTTTTTTTTAGAAGTCTTTTTAACGGATGGTCAACGTTAGAACTCGCCTTAATGCTACTTGTCGGACCAAGGGGGTAAATAATAGGAAAAGAATTATCAACATAGATTTAGTGTACACTATCTAATAGGCAAGTGTCGATTGGAACGAAGTAATAACTTAGTCAAATATCGAATACAATGCTCAATATGAGGTAAATATAAGGGTTAGTATAGCAACACACGTAATTGGACCAAGGTGCGGAGGTAAATTTTCTAGATGAAGGACCAAGGACTTAGAGATACATAACTTATCACTTTATATGCAAGATACTAGGAAAGAATTGTCATAGTTAGGATTAAAAAATTAGGAACCTGTGGGGAACACTTAAGCTCTAGTTACTTTTATTAATTGATTAAGCTCGAAGATTTAAATCTGTTAGTTGTTTACTTTAATTTTTAGATAATTATTTTCATTAATTTAGAAATAACCCCCCCCCCCTTTATTTTCTTTTGTTTTTAAGGAAAAAATTTACTAAATAATAGTAATAATAGAATAAAGTTATGTCTGAACTATTTCCCTCGTGGTAACGATCCCAACCTCATTTGTTGGATTCTTCACTTGATACGACCTCTTTGCTTCTTATTTGACAAGTAAGCTTGAGCCTATCAAATTTTGACACCGCTTCCGGGGAAAGTAGCTTTTAGATTAACTTAAACTTATTACTAAAGTTTAGTAAATATTTTCTTAATTTTACTTTTCTATTTTTTTCTTGCAGAACTAACTTCGTTTTATGCCAAACACATGGAGAGGAAGATAACCCTTGTTTCCCTACGATCACGAATTAGAGTGTGCACTACGCAATATGAATCGAAGTTTGGATATTAACGATGATGACCCAAACCAGAACATCCTAGCTCTAGTTGATGTTCATGGTAAGTTATTACTCGATGATCCTGGTGAAAATCAACAAAGGGGACAAAATCCTACTCCACGTCCTTAAGAATACTACAGAGGCTATGATAATATTGCAGACTCTGATGGGCCACTTGTTTTGCCCCCTCTACCACGAGGCCACACCTTTGTGATAACTAGTTGTTTGATACAAATGCTCACG